TAACACCCTCCTATTATCTCCCTTGCAAGTGGAGATAGTGACCCGACAGATAGAGAAGATAGTGACCTGGATGTGGCTGGACAGGAGGACAGGTGCCACTCAATGTCAGGCTGAGGAAGATGGATTATGTGGGGGAGAGGGAACTATGGCAGGATTTTTTAAGAATATATATATATTTATTTATGGTGTTGGGGATTGAACACAGTATCTGTCACTCTATTGTTGTGCTACATCCCCAGCCCTTTATTCCATTATTATTATTATTATTATTATTATTATTATTATTTTAAACTTGAGACAGTGTCTTGCTAAGTTGCTGAGGATTTTGCTAGATTGCTGAGGCTGGCCTTGAACTTGTGATCCTCCTTCCTCAGCCTCTTGAGTCACTGGGATTTCAGGCAGTGTCACCACGCCCATCTGTGGCAGGGTTTCAGGCAGGAGGGCCCTGGTGGGATCTGCAGGTTAGAAGCTCCCTCTAGCCAACAGGAAGTTGGAGTAGACGGTAAGACTGGAGGTGGGGAGGACCTGAGCCCAGGCAAGAGATGCTGGGGGCAGAGATCGGGACAGAGGCAGTGGAATGGAAAGGGAAGGCAGGTGTGCAGGGAGAGGGAGGAACAGGCGATGGCTGCTCTCACTGGGCTCCTTCTGGAAGCCCCCATGGACAGAGGTGCTCCCAGAGGTCCCCTCCTCCCTGACTGGAGTCTTGGAGGAAAAGTCAAGGCACAGAACTCCACTCCGCCTCCAGGGGGCAGTGTTGCAAAGTCTTCTGAGAGCCTGGTTCTTGCTCCCAACTGTCCACAGCCTGAACTGATGCTTGCTCCCATCCAATCCCTACCCCAGCTGTATCTTCCCTCCCAGCCTGTCGTACCACCCTCCATCAATGGACTTTCTCCAAGGACACAATTATTAATAACTGTAACCCCAAGCCTGACACTTTACAATAACAATGGTACATGCGTTAGCTCATGTGGTCCTTCCAAAAGAGGGACAGAAAAGATCCATTTCCAATCCCCTCCCCTCAGGAAACTGAGGACCAGGCAGAGGACAGGACTTGAGTAATACCAGGATATGGGGGGCAGGGCTGAAGCCAGGGCTGGGGGCCCAGCTCAGCCCAGGCCCAGTTGGAGCCCTGTGAGAGGCACAGCTTGGCAGCATCTGCAGAGCTATGGCTGTTATCAGAGACCACAGCCTCCATTTTGCCCTTGAGCTCCCTCCCACCTCAGGAAGCCCTTCCCAGTGATTTTTATTCCCATGGGTTGTCACTCAGGTGGAACTGACCTGACAAACACCTGCTATGATGTACTTCCCCCTCACTCTCTGCTTCCAGAATTACAAGAGTCATCACCCTCACTCTCATTGCCATATTGACAATGGCTTGCATCTGCTCAGGTGTCAGAATTTAGCAAGCATTGACTGATCCATCCATCAGTTCATCTGAGCCTTGACAGCTCTGGGGAGGCATTGCACAGACAAGGGCATGGAGGACCAGAGAGGGAGAGGGACTGGCCCCAAGTAGCCCAGCAAGGCCTCAGACTCTAGAGGTTAGTCTCCCTGAAGAGATAAACTGTGCACTTACCAAGTACACAGGGAGAAGATAGGGCAAGATGATGGCAGGTGCAGTCCTATCAGGAGGTTTCTTGTCTTCCTATTTGACAGAGGATGCTGAGCCTCAGAGAGCTTCTTATTGGATCAGGATGGAGCTGTCTGGTGCCTAAGATCATGTTTTCCTGGGACACAGGGCTACCACCTCCAGGGAAGGCTGTAGAATGTGGAGCATTGTCTGCAGGCCTTGGGGCCCAGGAGAAGGTCACTGCTGGCATGAAAGAGCCCAGGTGTGGAGGACAGCTTCCCGAAGGTGTGGGGTCCTGGGCAGGGTTAAGCTGCTACAAAGGCTGGCCAGGCTGGCCAAGGTGGGTGGCGCTGTTCAACCTGGACCCCTCCTGGACCCCCACCTGGCCTGCTGCCCGCGCTTCTCACCTGGCTGGGAAACGAGCCGCGTGGGGATGAAGGAGCTAGGCCAGTGAAGCGGGGAAGCCCTGCAGGCTCGGCAGGTAGGGCTGGGGCTGATTTCTCATCCATCAGCCAAGGAAACTGAAACGTGGGGAGAGGGAGACGGCAACCACCCCATGGTCACTATACTGTCCAGGCCTCAGAGGGCAAATCTGGAAAAGGGACCAGTTGAATTAAATGAGCGCCACATACTTCCTGCTCTGACCTCTGGGAACCGCACGTCCAGCCTTTTGCAGTCCTTGGCTGGCACCCCAGCCCCTGCTGTGTGCAGACTCGATGCAGAGCCCTGGGCAAGTCACCTCCAAGTGGCAGTGTCCTTGTGGGTGAACCAAGTCTGACACTGCCTTCCTTGGGCAAAGCCAATGAGCCAGGCAGGGGTGTCTACAGTTGGGGGTCTGAACCCAAGGTGGCATCTGAAGCAGGGGAAGGTCACGTCCCTGACCGAGGCCCTCAATTGTCCACCCAGCCCAGGGCTCATTTATAGATATCCGCTCCGTGGCTAGCAGGCCAGAGGGAAGTGGGGTCAAAGGTGCCGACGCGGCATTTTAGAGCCTTTCTCAGGAAGAAGCCTCTGGTTATTCTTCCTCTTTTCCCCCTACCCTTCATCTTCTGGGCAATCTCACAGTGACCCTCAGGACCATCCTGGAGGTAGGTAATGTGACGTCATGGTGTCCATTTAACAGATGGGAAGACTGAGACGCAGGGAGAGGTTTGTCCAAAGTCCCACAGCAGGGTTGTGGCAGAGCTGGCAACAGAATTGAGCTCTCTAATCTGGATCCAGAATCCTTCCCTTGTACCCCAAAGCAGGCGGTTCTCTTAGATGAAGAGTCTCCTATTTTGCCTGGTTTACAAAACTCACGTCTCTAAGTGGGTTGACTAAGAGGGGAAGGGCTTGGGATTTGCCAACTGTCCAGGATTTGACAACAACAACAGGCTTAGCGTGAGACCCAGGGCTGTGCCAGCATCATGGAGCCCTGGGAGCTGCAGAGTTTTACAAGCCATGCCGGGCTCTGCTAGCAGCACTGGACTCTCAAAAAGGCATCAGGTTTTGCTAACTGTGGGAATCCACAGATGGCGTTGGGATCCACACACATCATGGGGCCCCATAACAAGCACAGGGTGCAGCAAATGCCACATGTTGGCAAGTGGCCAAGCCAGGGTGCCAACCAGTGTGGTCAGACTTTAAGCCAGGGCCATCCACAGTGGGACCTCTCTGTGGGACTAACCCAGGATGGGTTAACCTAAATGCCAGGATCCTTGTTCCAGTTCCACAGCTCTGAGTTCAGGAATATTCTGGTCCCAGACTATTCCATGTATACATTTTTTTTTTCAGTTTCTAGGGCCAAGATGGGGCAGTGATGCTTCCAGAAGTCTAAAAGGACCTCCCCCTCTCAAATGTGCACCTGCAATTTGAAATCTGGAAAGTTCCACCTCCACTAATCTCTATGAAGACCCACAGTGCAGACTTTAGACTGAAGGATTTAGAAAGAACTATGGAAAGAACTAATTTAGTTTTCTCAAGCAGGCTCCGTGTCTGCTAACTATTAACCTCTCTCAATGGGCATGCATTCATGTTTCTGGTTTCTCAAAGACGCGTTCATTTAAACAAACATTAGGCATTCACTGAATGCCTACTAAGTGCAGGCAGATCTGTGATTATTTCAAGCATTATATTCTCTACTTCCTACAAACGTACTCATGCAGCCACTGGGACCCAGTGGGGCTGCAGGATGCTTCTCTATCATTGCCCTGAGTGCTGGGCTCTGAACCTGTATCCCCGCCAATGCAAAGACCCTATTTCTAGAGTGGGATCTTGGATTTGGGGGAACTCAAGGGTCTTCCTCTGAGAAGACAACTGGGAAGAGGAAGAAGCCTGGTTCTAATGTCAGAGATCCAAAACATGGCCCACAGCCAGTAGCTGGGTGATCTCTGGCAAATTTCTGAGACCAGCATCCCTTCTGTAAAAAGGGGGCATACCTGCCCTGGGAGGCCACGGCCAGCCAGGGGAGCCTGGTGTAGAAGTGCAGAGCAAACTGGAAAAGCAGATAGATTTATTTTCAGTCTCCCTTTTCCTGAGTCCTGCCTCTGCCACTCCCTGCTGCTCCCTCTGCGCTTAGGGGCCCAGACTTGGCCTCTGTATAGCTTCCTGAACTTTCCCAACGTCCTACAAGCGATGGTTATTTGCCTTCTTTAGAGATGAGGGAGCTGATACTCAGGGAGGTGCAGGTACCTGTCTGAGGCCACTTGGCTGAGACCAGACCTGCCCATCTGGCAGCAAGGCCTCCATCCTCTGTGCTCAGCCCAGAAATCTCTGGGAATCTCACAGTGGCCCTTCTGCTCCCCAACCCCCTGCATCTAGGTGGCTGTGACGGACCTACAGGTGGGCTGTCACTGTGCTTTCCAGGGGCCACCTAGGCTGGAGACCTGGGGGTTATTGTATGAGAGAGGACAAGAGCCCAGAAAGGATGGCATTTCAGTGTGTGGGGGGGGACACAGTTATGTGGGCTCATAACAGTTCTGCAAGGGGGACAGGGCTTAGTAGGAGACGGGGCTCAGAGGAGAGTGGGAGCGCAGTGAGGAGATGGAGGAATTGATGGTGCAAGGCGCTGGGCTGAGGGAGGCCCACCCACACACCCGCACTCCCACCTTTCCACCTAGCAGAGCAGGGGAGGTATCCAAGGGAAAGGCAGTTGCTGGAGGCTGGGGAGGAGGGCAGACCAAACCAGGGGGAGGCGGGGTTACAGCCTCCCCCCCCCCACCCCGCAGGGGCTGGACCCAAACAAACCCAGCCTCCTCCTCCACTCTGCCTCCCCCCCCCCTTGCTGTCCCAGCCAGAGATTGGAGGAAAACCAAAGGAGGGAGAAATAGGGCGGGGGTGGGGGTCAGGACAGACAGAGAAGGAGCAAAGGACCAGGAAACACAGGCACTTGGAGAGGGGTGAGTTTGAGTTTGAGCCGAGCCTGCCTGGAAAGGTGGCTGCTGTCTGTCCAGTGTGGCCCAAGAAGCATTGCCCAGTGCATGCGGAACCTAACATCGACTTGTCCCTGCTGTGGCTCGCCAGTTGCTGTCCTCGGGATCCCCAGGACAGGTTCGATTCCTTCCTCCTGCTAAACTCCAAGTCCTGAGGTTGAATTAGAGTCTGGAACTCACTGTACCCCAGCAGTCATGGGACCTAGGATAGGTAAGTCCAGGCGAGGTGAAGAAGGCGTGGGAAGTGGGGGCTGGGCATGCTGGGGAGGAGGGGCGCACAGGTCTCTGCACAGAGTGAGGTGGCGCTAGAGCCCCGTGAAGGTGCAGGGTGCTCCGAATGAATGAAGTGATGGCCCAGGGAGCTGGAAGGGACACCAGCTGGAGGAAACCCAAACAGACCGCTTGACCAGACAGAGGGCGGGGAGGAGGCTGGAAGGGTAGGGTCTAGAAGCCTCCAGAAGCCCAACCTGGAGCAGGACAAGGTATACTAGGGGCAAGGGAGATGTTTCTGGAGCTGAGTGCCTGACCCAGCCTACCTCAAGCAGCAAGGAAGGACGGAAAAGAAACAAAGGGTCTTTAGCCTCTAGCCTTTAGATCCCCAGCTGGTCTCCCTGCAGAACTCACCTCTGGCCTCCTTCCCAGCTGCCTTTGCCCTGGTGTGTTAGGCTCACACCCACTCAGGCAAGGGTGGACTTGTTCCCAGGAGCTCCACAGTGAGGGCTGCAGGGGAGTTCCAGGAGACAGACCCAGCCAAGGGGCAGCCCAGGGACTCCAGGTGGACGCAGCCACAGCGTGGGGACCATGGCATGGCAGAAAGAGTGGGGTGGACGCTTCCTCACGGAGAAAAGAGAATGAGGTCACATGGAGGGGGTGGCTTGTGAGGGTGGCTGGGCCACTGACTCACCAACTTCGCTGTCAGATTTGGCTCGGTATGGATGGGAGGGTTGGGGACCCGGAAGGTGGGAACTACCAGACACTGATTGTCCTGCACCTGCTCCCAGCCTCCAGCCCAACCCCGTGACTGTTTTTCTGGCCTCTGAACGGCTCAGCTCTGGAATATTCTCTAGGTGCCCCCTGACCTGCCACACATGTAGCGGGAGGCTGATCCCACATCCACCCACTGGGCTTCCAGAGCCACCTCTAGCTATATTTTCTGAGCCCCACCTGAGCTGTGGCCAGGGTCGCCATGCCCTCTGAAAGATGAGGGAGAATACAGGGCCTGGAGCCTGGAAAGAATCCTGGGCCCAGCTGACCAGACAGAGAAGGGCCTGCTGTCCCCCGCCCTGGTCAGACAGAAGGAGGGAGGGTCAGATGTGTCCCCACCACCAGCTGGCCTTGTGCCCTTAGGCAACATGCCAAGCTTCCCTGTCTGTGCAGAGAAGGGCTGAAGAACATAATCTTCCTGCGCTGTTCCCACGGTGTGAGCCAGAGAACCCCCTTTCCCACCTCTGCACCCTTGCTCGGGAAGGGCCCTGGTCACATCCCATTTTGGTGAAATTTGCCTTGTTTCCCATTCTTCCAAGCACCAACTCCTCCAGGAAGCCTCCCAGGTTGACTCTCTCAGGGGAGGTAGCATTCGCCAGTCAACATCCATATGCTCCATGACCCTCTCTGTGAGGTTCTTCCTTCCTGGCTCCCAGCATTGCTGCTGGTACTCTCTGCAGCCCATCTGTGTTGAAATGTGAGCTGTCCCAGGGCAGAGAGTGGAACGAGGGAAAGAACCAGCAGCGCTATGTTCAAATCCCAGCTCTGCATTATATGTGGGTTTTTGTTGTTGTTTATTTTGTTTCTTTTTTGATATTAGGGATTGAACCCAGGGGCACATTACCACATAGCTGCATCCCCAGTCTCTTTTATTTTTCATTTTGAGACAGTCTCACCAAGTTGCTTAGGGCCTCGATAAGTTGCTGAGGCTGGCCTTGGACTCACGATCCTCCTGCCTCAGCCTCCTGAGTTGCAGGGATTACAGGTGTGTGCCACCACATCTGGCTAATGATTGGAGAATGAACAGGACTGAGGGGGGTTATTCACTCCCAGGCTGCACTGAGCCTTGCCTATTGGATCTTAGGCAGCTGAGAGCCAGATGTGAGCTGGCCTAGACTCATCAAAGGGTAACAGGCATTCAGTGCCCAGTCTCTTTCTGTGACTTGGTTTTTCCATGGGTGCATGGACGGGGAATGGAAGGTGGTGGCCAAGTGGTCACTTGGTTCCTTTTTTTGCTATAAACTTGGTCTCTGGAGGGAGCAGTGGCAGAGGCCTCTCCACAGTTGCAGGGCTAGGTCTTCCCATCAGTGTTGGGGACTTGGCTATCTCCCCGGTGCTGGCCTGGGCCTCAGCTGCTGCCCCTCACACACTGCAGCCTAGCACCTTAGTGCTAATGCCTGATATGATGGAGAGCAATGCCCACCTCAGCACAGCAGGAGCTCCCTGGGAGCTGGGTCCTGCTTCATCCATTCCCGGGGTCCCTGAGCCCAGCTTAGGGCTGGGCAGAGATAGCGTGGTGGGAAAGTGCAGTTCATAAACTGTCCTCCGCCTCTCCATGACCCATCCCTCCCTCTAGGCTTCTTTGAAGACCTGAAGCCTGCACTGAGCCAGGCTCCTTGATGATGAAGGAGACCCAGGATGAAATCAGACAGGGATCTGTCCCCCCAGGGGCTCCCAGGGGGGACCAGAGAGTCACAGACACACATCCCATGGATAACAAAACCAAGGTTTGAAACAGGGAGGAAGTTGGCCAGCCCAGAGGAAGGCCCAATCCATGACAGTGTGGGTTGGGGGTTGGGGAGAACTCCAGGAGAGTGGGCGTCAATGGGGGCTTGACAGGATGCATGTTCCAGGGGTCAGAGGCATTGATAGACCTGTTTGTGGGGTGCAGTTGGAGTAGGGGAGGTCCCTGGCGATATCTCAAAACATTAAGCTGAAGCTGATAGGGCCCCATCATATACCAAGTTAGATACATGGATTTTGTCATTCTATAGCAATCGGGAACTATAGAAAGTAGGCGAGGAAGGCAGTGGCCATGCTTCAGTGGCACAGGGAATTTGTGTCTTGGGGACACTCATAAGCCCACTATTGTGGACAGCACTTTTATGAGTACAGAGCACTCTCATGTCCATCTTACAAATGGAGAAGCCAAGGCCAGGAAGAGCCCATTTACCTGTCCCAAGTCAGGCAGCTAGTCAGTGGCAGAACCAGAGCTCATACTGGAGCCTCCCACTGGAGCCAGGGCCCTCTCTGGCCCTCTCCTTGCCTTCTTTCTTGATGAGTCTAGATCTTAATCTCCCATGTGTCCAGGTTGTGCCTGGTGGACACAGGCCTGAGGGGCCAAGATCTTCAGATCTTGGAGTCAGCAGTGTTCAAATAGGTATCTGGATGACCTTGTGCCTTACCCAGGATGGAACCTCCTGACATGAAGTGAGGTTGAGAAATATGGCCCTTAAGGAGACACAGACACAGGAGCCTGGATCACAGGGAGGGAGAGACAGAATGGCCTTGGGTCATTATCTGCCTGTCTCTGAGCCTCATATCGTGTTCTCTCTCTCTCTCTCTCTCTCTCTCTCTCTCTCTCTCTCTCTCTCTCTCTCTCCTGCCTCAGTGTAACTTACACAGTCAAGGAACTGAACTCAGAATCCACCCCTCAGGAAGCCTTAGGACACCCCGGGCTTATAGGTATTGCACCATACGAGCCTTATCTCTTTGTTTGAGGCCTAAGGAAATTGGCCTGGGTTCTCTGAGGGGTCAGGACTCACCCTCCCCCACAGGCCCTGCTCCCTATTTTTAAGGTCATCATGGGTCTAGATGGGGTAGCTGGAGACAGAACTGGGAACAGAAAGTCCCAACACAGGGTCTGTGACCCAGCTCGGAAACCACCAGAAAGTGTCTGGCCAGACAGATCTCCCTAAAGAAGCAACAACTGGACCTCAAGCATGTCGCTGTCCTCCCAAATGACCACCCAAGGGTCCTGCCAGAAGGAATTCCCCCAGAACGACAGCCAAGCCCAGCGCCTGCTCAGGGACCCCCCCTTCCTGCCTTTGACTATTTCCCCTCCACAGTGCCGGACCGGGTCAAACTGGAAACTGGAGCCCTGAGGCCCCGCTGCCCATGCCCACCCTGTGAGCACTTGGGCAGCCCCTGCCTCTAGCCCAGGCTCCGGCCTTCTCGTTTCCCTCATGTTTAGCTCAGCTCAACAATGAGCTCTTCAGCTGGGCCAGGCCTTGAAAGATAAGTGGTTTGCTGGAGAGGAAGGACATTCCAGGCTAAGGGTACGGCATGTGCAGAGGCTTAGAAGTGGGGAGGAACATGATGGATTTGGGGAATGGTGAGGATCTATTGGGACCAGAAGATAATGTTCTCTCAGGGCAGGGAGAGGAGTCATGTGTAGTTCCCAGTAGCCTCGATCTTGAGACCAGGGAGTCTGGACGCCACATTGCAGGTGAGCAGGGAAAAGGCAAGGGAGCCCGCCATCGTTGAGGGTCTGAGGACAGCTGTGTGCCAGGCCTGGGACATTTTCCCTCTGTCCTAACCAATCCTCAGTGAGACATGCATGCTCTCAAGAGAAGAAAATAGGACTTAGAGAAGATTAAATAAGCTGCCCAGGGTCAAAAAGCTACAATATGGCAGAATAAATATTTGGATCCAAAGTCTTCTGACCCAGAGAGTTTCAACAGAGATCTAACATAATCCATCAGGACAGGTGGAGAGGACAGTCCCAGCCCTGGGGGAGCTTACCACCGAATCAAGCAGATAAGAGAAAGACATAAATAGCAAGAGAAGGACCAACTGCAGCCGTGGTAAGTGGCCTGGGAGAAGTGTGCTATGGAGGGAGGAGACAGCTGACCTGGGCCACAGAACTAGGCAGAGGATGGCAGATGAGGGACCCCGGGCAACTTAGGAGGTAGGGCTCAAGGCAAGGGTTAGCCACAAGAAAACTGGCCTTGCCACTCTACAACTCTGGAGAGAGGTGTCTGCCACCATCCTGAGGGGTGGATTGCCCGCCATTTGCTGCTGGGAATATTCATGCTTCTGAGTGCAGGCTGTGGGCACGTTAGTGCTAGAGGCTGGTGGCTTTTAGTGACAGTGTCCCCCTCCTCTGCACCTGGAACATGAGTGCAGGGTGGGTACCTCCTTCCATTCCATTCTCCATCACTGGAGCCATGGCAAGGGTTTCTCCCTCTCACTGGGCAAGTTTGGCCACTGTGGCTTCTGTTACCT